TAACCAAATACAAACTTCAGTAAATACTCTAAATACTCTCTAAAATTCATCCATCAAGAAATAGCTTATACTTTAGAATTATGGGAACAATCACCAAAAGAATAGTTAAAAACATTAACAGTGGTTACCTCTGGGGAGTAAGACAGAGGAGAGAGGAGGGGTGAACAGAGAGGGGCAACCGTTTTCATTAAAATATTCTATGGCTTTTTGTAGTCTTCAGTTGTATTACACAGGCAGAAATAAAATCTTAACAAAAAACTACTTTTATATACGTAGTTTGGAAAAATCTCAACCAAATCATTTCAATGACCGTCTCTTGGGGGGGGGAAACCTGCTAGACAGGATGTTTGAAAAGCTACAGATGTGGCTGGACACAGGCAGGCATTGTGGGTGAGGAGGCTGAGGTGAAAATGGGGAGATATGGAACCGTGTCCTGAGCAGATCTGCTTTTCAGAGTGAGCACCCTTCCCTGTGTGGGTGATGAACTTGGGGGAGAGAGACTGCTGATGGTGAGCAGTTGGGAGGCTGCTGCACTGGTCTTGGTGAGAGCTGATGAACCACGGAGGAAGCCATCTCCTGTGAGCCAGGCACAGTGGTGCATGCCTGTAATCCCAGCCACTCGGGAGGCTGAGGCAGGAGGATTGCAAGTTCAAGTCCAGCCTCTGCAACTTGGTGAGACCTTGTCTCAAGATAAAAAAAAAAAAAAAAAAAAATTAAAGAGCTGGGATTGTGGCTTGAGTGCTCACCTAGCACAGGCGGGACCCGGGTTTGATCCTCAGCACCACATAAAAATAAAGGCATTGTGTTGTGTCCATCTATACCTTAAAAAAAATTAAAAAGAAGGCTGGGGATAGTGGTAGAGCACCTTCCTAGCATGTGTGAGGCCCTGGGATCCATCTCACAATCTAGTGAGATCCTGTATCAAAATAAAGAATAAAAAAGAGTTGGAGATGTAGCTCAGTGGGAAAGCACTCCTGGGTTCAATTCCCTAGTATCCCAAAAACATCCTGATGGAAAATTATTTTCAACTACTATTCCAGATACAGTTAAAAAAAATAAAAACACAAATGAGGATAGAAAAAGACATTTTCAGACAAGCAAGGGGATAAAAAAACTGCCCCAAATGCCCTTTCTTAGGAAATGACTGGACAATGTTCTCCACCAAAATGAGGGTATAAACCAAGAGAGATGGACACTTTCAAGCTAGAAAACAGGTGCTCGAACAGAGGGAAAGAGGGGTACAGCTGTGTAGATAGCAGCCAGACTCTGGAGGAAAGGGGAGGAATAAAGAAAGGCCCAGCAGACAGATCAGTAGGAAAACAAAAGGATGGATCGTGTTCCTGCACAGGGAAGGCATTTTACGGATCTACTGGGGTGTTGGAAGAGATTTGGAAATATGTGCCCAGAACTAAGCAAATGAAAAATGAGATAATTATTAACTCCAGGAAAATAAAAGTCTACACTATAAAACAAATGTAATTATAGTATACTCTTTGGCTCAGAAAAGGAAGGATAATATCTATGGAATCTTAAGAATGTAAAACCTAAAAGTATGGAGAAAAAAGTCGGACATGATGGTGCACGCTTCCAGACTCTCAGGAGGCTGAGGCGGGAGTATTGTTAGAATATTGTTAGAGTGCATGAGTTCAAGACCATCCTGGGCAATATAGTGAAACTCTGTCGAAAGAAAGAAAGGAAGGAAGGAAGGAAGGAAGGAAGGAAGGAAGGAAGGAAGGA